GTAAAAGATTTGCTACTCCTCCCGCCCGTGGATGTAGGTCAATTTTATCGAACCATGTAAATTTCTATATTTTATCAGATCTGATAGAAGGGAACCAAGGGAAACAAGTGGGAGTCAGGCAGAAGGCTTGGTTGTTAGAGGCAGATCTGATAGAAGGGAACCTGACAATAGTAGATCTAATTCTAGATCTAAGTCCAGATATAAAAACATGAAATGCAATTATTGTCATAAATTAGGGTACATTAAGGCTGATTGTTTTAAATTGAAAAATCAGTTAAAGCAAAAGGGAAAATTTGTTAAACAAAATACTGAATCTGCTGAAGTTAGTGTAGCAGCTGATGAGAATGAAGGAAATATTTTCTTTGTAACTGATGGCAGGACAAGATCTAAAAATGAATGAATTTTAGATTCGGGGTGCTCTTATCACATGTGTCCCGACAAGGATTTGTTTTCCACATATGAATCTTGTAATGGTGGAATTGTTTTGATGGGCAATAATGCCGTTTGTAATGTTGTTGGTAAGGGTACAGTCCGAATTAAAATGCATGATGGTATTATGAGGACGCTCACTAATATTAGACGTGTTCCTGATTTGAAAAAGAATTTCATCTCTTTGGGCACTCTCGAATGACTTGGGTGCAAATACACGACTGAAAATAGTGTTATGAAGGTTTTCAAAGGTGCCCTTATTGTTATGAAATCATGCAGGTTTGGTAGTTTGTATATTTTGTAGGGTTCTACTATCACAGGTTCAGTGGTAGTTTCAACATCATCTTTGTCAAATACCGACATCACCAAATTATGGCATATGCGTTTGGGGCACATGAGCGAAAAAGCTTGGGCATACTGAGCAAAAGAGGACTTCTTTGTGAACAAAGTACCAGGCCATTGGAATTCTGTGAACACTATCTTTTTGGGAAACAGAAAAGTGTCAGCTTCAGTTCACCAGCAATTCACAAAACAAAAGGTACTCTTGATTATATTCATTCAGATCTATGGGGTCCCACTCGTGTTTCATCTAAAGGTGGTGCCAGGTACATGTTGACTTTCATTGATGATTATTCAAGAAAAGTTTGGGTTTATTTTCTAAAAAATAAGAATGATGTTTACCTAACCTTCAAACAATGAAAGGCTTTGATTGAGAAACAGACAGGTAAACAAATTAAGCGGCTCAGAACAGATAATGACATGGAATTTTGTGAAAGTGAATTTAATGAATTTTGTAAGAATAAAGAATTGTTAGACACCACACCATCAGGATGACGCCTCAATAAAATGGTGTGGCCGAGCGTATGAATAGAACGCTTTTGGAGAGAGCACGGTGTATGATCTCCAATGTAGGGTTGACAAAAGACTTTTGGGCAAAGGCGATTAATATGGCTTGTTATATTGTCAATCGCACTCCTTCTGCACCTCTAAATTTTAAAACTCTTGAGAAAGTTTGGTTAGATACTCCTGCTGATTACTCTGATTTAAAAATTTTTTAAGTGTCCAGCATACATGCATGTGAATGACGGAAAACTAGAACCTAGAGCTAAAAAGTGTATTTTTCTTGGGTATGCTTCTGGGGGTGAAAGAATACAGATTGTGGTATTCTGATCCCAAATCTCCAAATTTTGTGATCAGTAGAGATGTTACTTTTGATGAATTATCTATGTTATCTTTCAAAAGGGGGTCTTCTAGTTCTTGTGGTACAAATGATAGTACACAGGAGCAGGTGGAGCTTGAAATCGATAGTTGTGGTCTTTCTAGCTCTTCTATTCAGCAAATGCCAGTAGATGTACTTGAATCTACTGATGAAAATAATCTAGAAGAGGAGAGATATTCCATAGCCAGTGATAGACCAAGGAGGAATATTCGACCACCACAAATATATTCAGATTTTGTTAGATATGCTTTGTCTGTTGTAGAAGAAATTGATGCAGTAGATGAACCTTCTACTTATTCAGAAGTAATTATGATGACTCTGCAAAGTGGTCGATTGCGATGAATGAGGAAATTGAATCCCTTCATCGAAATGGAACTTGAGTTCTTGTGAAGCCGCCTTCAGATAAGAAAATTGTTGAATGCAAATGGGTCTTCAAGAAGAAGAAAGATATTCTAGGGGTTCAAGATATAAGGTATATAGCACGATTGGTTGCGAAGGGTTATAGTCAGGTACAATGTGTTGATTTTAATGATGTGTTTTCACCTGTTGTTAAACATAACTCTATTTGTGTTTTGCTTGCTTTAATTGCCATATATGATTTGGAATTGGAACAGCTCGATGTTAAGACAGTTTTCTTACATGGTGAACTTGAAGAACAAATTTATGTGAAGCAATCCAAGGGATTTGAAGTTAAAGGTAAGGAAAACCATGCATGTTTGTTGAAAAAATTCTTATATGGATTAAATCAGTCTCCAAGACAGTGATATAAGAGGTTTGATTCTTTTACGTTGGGTCATGGTTATTTGAAGAGCATGTATGATAGTTGTATTTACTTCCGCAAGTTAGATGATAATTCTTTTTTCTATTTGTTGCTGTATGTTGATGACATGCTCATTGCTGTCAAAAATTTGCCAAAAATTCACAATTTGAAATTACAGCTAAGAAGTGAATTTGATATGAAAGATTTGGGAGCAGCTAAGAAAATTCTTGGCATGAATATTAAGCAAGATCAAGGAGCAGGGAAGTTGTTCTCAAGAAAATTACTTGAAGAAAGTCCTGGAGCGTTTTGGCATGAAAGATGCAAAATCTGTAAGTACTCCTCTTGCTAACCATTTTCGGTTATCTGCTGCTCAGTCACCACAGTCAGATGAAGAGAAAGAATATATGGCACGAGTTCCTTACTCCAGTGCAGTCGGCAGTATTATGTATGCAATGGTTTGTAGTCATCCGAATATTTCACAAGCAATCAGTGTTGTTAGTAGATATATGTCTTGTCCAGGTAAAGAACATTGGCAGGTTATGAAGTGGATTCTCAGATACTTACAAGGGACTTCAAACGCTTGTTTGGAGTTTTGAAGAAATAAAACCACTCTTGTTGGTTTTGTAGATTCAGATTACGCCGGAGATCTTGACAGAAGAAGATCACTTTCAGGTTACGTATTCTACATTGGAGGTTGTGCAGTTAGTTGGAAAGCTACTTTACAATCCGTTGTGGCTTTATCTACTATGGAGGCAGAATACATGGTAGTGATCGAGGTAATCAAAGTAGTCTTGTGGTTGAAGGGATTATTTGGCGAGTTTAATCTCTACATCAGGGTGTTACGGTTATTTATTGTGATAGTCAAAGTGCTATACACTTGACTAAAAATCAAATGTATCATGAGAGAACAAATCACATTGATATAAAATATCACTTTATCCGGGATATCATTGCTGAAGAGAAAGTCCTTGTTCGAAAGATTAATACCAAAGAGAATCCTGCTGAAATGTTTACGAAGCCTCTTCCAGTTTACAAATTCAAACGATGTTTGGACTTGGTTGGTGTTCATTGTATGTGATTTGACCCATTGGGGCTTATGTAGAGAAGGTGGAGTAGATTTGCTATTTGTCGATGTTGGGACCTCGCCAAGGTGGAGATTTGTTGGATGTGGCGTTTGTCCCACATCGGACAATGCCAAGAAGAAAAAGGCTCCTTGAGGGCTATAAATGTATGGCCTTGGTGGTGAAGATGAACACACCAAACCAAGAGAGTTTTTTGTTGGGTTATTTGGACCTTGCTTGGTCATTATGCCCTTTTATAGTAGGAATATTTTGGGTTCTCTTGTATTTTAGTATTAGGTGTCTTTTGGATTTAGAAACCACTTTCCTAAGGTTTTTATATATTTTCTTCATAGTGAAAGATTTGTTCCTCCTCCACCCATGGATATAGGTCAATTTGACCGAACCACGCAAATTTCTGTGCCTTTTATTTTGCTTTGTTATTTGTCTTTATTGGATTGCCACAATCTTTTTATATGGTCCGTTTTATCGCCTAAGTATTATATGGCTGGTGTCTACCGCCTAAGCATTATATGATCGGTTATACCGCCTATTTTGTTCTAATTGTAGTTTGTTTATTCCTGAGCCAGTCCTAACAATTATGCTTTTTGATCTGCTAAAGGCGTTGAAGCCTAATACTCCAGAAACTACACAAACTACACAGGTGTGTTTCTATGGAATCAAATACGATTCAGAATTCAGACCCCAGAGATTGGCTGTAGAAGCATTTGTCAATTTTCTTATTCCTGAGAAGGATCCTCAACTTGAAACCTTATACGATGGGCTCACACAGCTGATAATGTTTGTCCTTCACGCTCGTGCTCCAGAAGAGGATAATGTAAAGCCTCTTTTAAAGGATATTACAGCAGCCGTTTGCAAGCTTGGGTCTTTCGGTTACCCTTTCCATGTGAAAAGAGCAACACAAGACAAACCTAAAGGAACTGATCCCGCAATATTTTGGTTGCTTGAAAAGATGGAGCTTCTGAGGGCAGAGGTATTCCTAATCGAGCTGCTAAACCAGAAGATCAGTTTGGAATTCCTTGAGGATTGCATTGATTCTTTCCACAAAGGACAGATGCATTTGCAAAGTTATCATAGGGATGCATTCCAGGGGAAAAGCAAAGCTCCTAAGCTGGTATGGCTGCATATTCTAACTTTGGCTAGGGAGGCTACCTCTATTTATCAATCATTTCATGCCCAGTCTGTCACTATAGACAAGTTGAGAGATGAGCTACTTAAGTTGCAAGAGAAGATTAAGCTTTTGAAGACAGAGATACTTCTGGAAGAGCTTTTTAATGGACACCCAAATTATGTAGTCAACGTGAAGAACGAAATCAAAAGCCTTGATCAGGGGCTAATAGTCCTGAGACCTTTCCTGATTGGTTCTCACGAAGAGAATTAGAAATTCCTCCTGACACAAGCAGAATCTATAACAAGAAATTTAGCTTTTTTGTATGACTGTCTTCTTGAAAATGAAAGTACAGAAGATGCGGTGATGAAATTCAGTTTTTTGCTTCCTGAGTTAGTAAAAAAGATGAATCTTGCCAATGCAGAGATCATAGAGAGTTACATAACTGTTCGCAGGTCATCAAGATCTCATTTCCCGAAGACAGAAGGATTTGGTTTCATTGATTTCCTTTTAGGAAATCTCAGGGAACTACTGAACTCTGAAGTTGATTATTTTGTTTCTGTCAAACATCAAATTCATGTTGTTCATGAAGAGATAGAGTTCTTGAGATCATTCCTCAGAGATATTGAAGAACAATATAAGGAGCATCAGGATTTGAAAACTCTGGATTCGTCCATTATGGAAGTGATGCTTGAGGCGGAGTATCTCATTGATGTGTTTATTCTTGGAGATTGTTTGCAATGGTATCATCCGATATGGCTTTCTGATCTCATTGAAGATCTCAAACTCATCAAGCTTCAGGCAACAGAAATCTGTGAGAATGCACATGGCATCAACATCAATTATGTTCCCACCCTTTCAAGGAATGTAATATCACCACCCAAAATTCCCAAAATTGATGAAGTTGTGATTGATCTTGCTGATGAGAAAAAATTAGTCATTGATAGACTTATAGCAGGATCACCACAACTAGATGTTGTCTCAATTGTTGGCATGGCTGGACTCGGCAAGACAACTTTAGCCTTAAAGGTATACACTGATCCTTCAGTTACTTATCATTTCCACATTCGTGCATGGTGTTGTGTCTCCCAAGCATATCAGAAAAGGGAATTGCTCCTTGAGATTTTAGGTGACATTGTTGAACTTACGGATCATATCCTTGAAATGAGCGATGGAGACTTAGAGATGAAGTTGTACCAATGCCTAAAGAGAAATAGGTTCCTCATTGTCATGGACGATATTTGGAGCACTAGCGCATGGTACGATTTCCAAGGTTCATTTCCAAATGATAACAATGGAAGCAGAATACTGATCACGAGTCGTCTCCCTGATGTGGCTAGAAAAATGAAAGTAGATAGTGTTCCTCATCCCCTTCGGCTACTCTCTAACGATGAGAGCTGGAAGCTGTTACAGAGGAGAGTGTTTGACACAAAAGAGTGCCCTGATGAACTAATGGCATTCGGAAATCAAATTGCAGAAAGTTATAAAGGACTCCCTCTTGCAGTTGTTGCAATATCTGGTCTCCTTGAAAGGACTGACAAGATACCAGACTGGTGGAAACAAGTTTCAGAAAGCATATGTTCACACATTGCCGATGACGTTGAAACGAGGTGCATACACATCCTAGAGCTGAGCTACAGGTGTTTACCTGACCATTTGAAGCATTGCTTTCTTTATACTGGAGTATTTTTGGAGTATAAAGACATTCCAATTAGGAAGTTGACATGGTTATGGCTAGCAGAAGGATTCATATGGAATACAGACCAAGAGAATAATGAAGATGTTGCAGAAGGGTACTTGAGGGATCTGTTTTGGTAGAAGCCTAATAATGACTTCCAAAAAAAAATCACTTGGAGGTGCCAAAACATGTCGAGTTCATGACATGTTGCGCACATTATGCATGCCAAAATTTGACAAAGAAAACTTTTTGCAGTGTCAAAATGGGTATGAAGAACTTTTGCTTCCACTCTTGAGGATTTGGATTACGGTGTTGATCCCAACTACTCATATCCCACAAACTCCATCACATACGAAAAACGCAGATTGTCCATTTGTTCTAAGAGAAATCACTTTGTCATGTCAACACCTTCTGGGAAACATATCCACACTCTATTTGTTCTCTTCTACCAGTGATTTGTATCCAAGATGCCCCTATGATATCTCCTTCATTTTTGACAAATTTAAACTTCTTAGAGTGCTGGATTTGGAATGCATCAATATGGGAAATTCTTTCCCAACTGGAGTTCAGTTGTTGATTCAACTAAGATATTTAGCACTTAGTGGTGATATAGACTGTATTCCAGCATCAATATCCCATCTCCGGGATCTTGAAACCTTGCTGGTGAAGGGATTAAGAGGTAAAGTTCTACTACCTTATACCATTTGGAGCATGGAAAAGTTGAGCCATGTCCACGTAAATATGCATGCCACCTTCACATTGCAAGACGGTGAAAGTACACTTTCTCCTCAAGTACTCAATCTAGTCAGTGTTTCCTGTCCCATATCTCTTATGTGGTAAAGGTACAGAGAATATCATGAGGAGGTTACTCAAACTTCGGAAACTGAGATGTGTATTTTCTGAATTACGGGATGATACTGGGAAGCTAAATCAGTTTCCAGTACTAAACTTTCTGACAGAGCTCGAGTCATTGAATGTACTGTATTCTGGTCGAATTTCTCTTCCTTGTGAGTTTGACTTCCCATTAAATCTCAAAAAGTTGACTCTATCAAAATTCCGTCTACCGTGGGATTGCATTTCACAGATTGGGAGATTACCCAACCTTGAAGTTCTCAAATCACTTTCTAGAGCCTTCGAGGGGAAAGTATGGGAAATGAAAGAAGGAGAGTTCCCTAAACTGAAATTTTTGAAGCTGGACAATCTAAACATTGCTCAGTGGAATGCCTCTAGTGATCACCTGCCACAGCTTCAACACCTAATTCTACGAAGTTGCAGGCAGCTTGAGGAGATCCCCTCTGCTTTTTGTGAAAGCTCTACTCTGGAGATGATTGAGGTCCAATTGTGCACGAGCTCTGTTGAAGAGTCAGTGATAAAGCTTAAGGAGGAACTACTTGAAATGGGAAATGAGGACTTCAAGGTTCTTATTGATCGTTCAGACATGGATTTATGATCATCTCCATAATTTCTGGTAGATCTTGGCGTCTTATTCTTGTATGTGCAGATTGTCTAGCTTTATTCTCTCTCTCTCTCTTTTTTTTTAACTAGTAATCTGATACGTGCTTTGCATGTAATTATATTTTTCCAAACTTTTATACATTTCTGTACTAAAGTATTTTATGAAATGTTGCTTGCTAACACCATAATATTTTTTCTTTTTACCAATCATGGGGTGTATTCACATCTCTGTATATGAACAAAGAATGACAAATTATAATGTACTATTCTTGTCAACAAATACAATGCGAAATCTGTTCAGTTACCATTTTTAGGTTCAGCCTTGAAGAATGGTAATCCAAGGTATAATATAATTAACATTGGCTAGAGATCACATATCTCCAGTGCAAAATACAATACAAAATATGTTGAGTTACAATTTGTAAATCTAACCTTCAAGAGTGGCATCAAAATGATTAACTTTTGGCTAGAGATGTTATCTTGAACTTCTCCTTTGCAAATTTATACACTAATAAAGAGCATACTACTTTTTTGCCACTTTTTGTTAATTGTACTCTTCACATGCAAAGTATTCCGAAATTATGGTAGCACAAGCTTTTTTCTTGATTTTGGCAATATGAAGCCACTGTTGTATTGGTAGTTATACCGTATGCATGATGATAAAACTAAAAAAAGGGATAATATTGGCACTATAAAACTACCCCCATATGGGGACTGCAGTCATAGAAGTAAGTGTACAGATGATTGCTACATTAGAATAGTAGAGATAGAATAATGGGGTTTTTTAGAGTGTGTGAAAGCAAATCATAAGCACATGATAAATTTAGAGAAAATCACAGTCAATAAAGTTTGAATCATAATCATATAGTTTATACCACTTTTCATATGCTTACGTTCACCAAAGTTTCTAGCTATCATTTTGGCCCATTATTTCTAAATGCGCTTTGATCTAACAATTGTTTATCTAAATGACTTCTTAAAGATTTTGTAGTTTACCAAGAACAATATTATGGATATCAATTTCTTAGATGGCACAACCAAATTTTACACACAAGACAATTTAGATGGTTAAAAGTTATTTTTTTTTATTGTAACCTTTTCTTCCATCTTCCTTTCCTCCTCCATTGGAGATAGCTCTGTATTGCTTGTTGGATGGACATTGTTTAATCTCACCAGACAAATCAAGCACAAGCCACTTAGCCTCCTTTGCACTAAGGGCACTTGAACGTTCTCTTTGGTATTGTTTGAGCTGCCTTTACAGCTTTTTGATTAATTTGTTTGTTTACTTTAAGTCATTTAATTATTGGTTTTCAATTTTAGGGATTTTTTATTTTTCAGTTTGTTTGCTTGCTCTTAATGATGGATTTTAATTATTTTATTGTGCTATTTTAGTTACAAATAGCTTTTGTAACTATTAACATGATTGATATTCATTCATTCATCATTATTGAAATGCATTATCATTATTCAATGGAGTGCGATGTAGGTATTAGAAAAAGTAAGACAAAATTCTGCTTACACTGCTAGATTCATGGTACTTTTATGAGTGTGTGTGTGTATTTATATCATTATCATTACTATATAAAAATCATGAATGTTGGTATTGGGTAGTGCAAGTGTAAGCACTTTTTTATCTTGGTTTTTGTTATTCCTAAATTACCCTCATGTCTTTTAATTAGAATTATTGCATTTTAATGTGACACTAATTAACAGAAATAAAACACTCCAATTGATTACATTTTAATGGTATTGGTAATTATAATTAAAAATTCCTCTTTAAAAACTATTTACCTACTCTTGGACTCCATCTCCTATTATTATACATATCAAAATTTCTTAATTGAAGCATGAAAAATTCCTCATTAGTCATTAGTTGAGATTATTAAAAAAATCAATTTAAAAAAATAGATACTCTCTAGAAATGGAGAAACATACAATAACAAGAAAACCCTTATTCATCTGTATATCTTCACACAAATATCACAAGTAAATTTTACAATTATGCACTTTTAACAATATGAAGAATTTTTCATGTTACATCCAATGAAATTTCAATATACAAAAAATGATACACCATTATAACTGAAATAGCAGTATTAAACTAGAAAAAAGAAATCTAAAATAGCACCATAGAAACTACTATTATCATTAATAGCAACCGATCAAAACAAGAAAAACTGAAACAAAATTGAAAACTATTTATAAAATAACATAAAGTAAATAGCAAATGAATTAAAAAGCTAGAATACAATTCAAATAATACCAAAGACAACATCCAAATCACTGATATCCAGGGGAAGACAAACATTGTTATTGACAATAATATAATAATGCTTCATTTGTTTTGGTTTGAGCAAACCAAATCCACCCATCAAGTCAAAAACCATCTCCAATGATAAAATAAGGATTATAATAAGAGTAAATATAAAATGAAGAATGTTAAAATGAAAATGATATCCAAATTTTTTTTGGTGATATCCAAAATACCTTATTTTTCTAATGATTACATATATTTATTGTATTGCAATATTAGTGAATAATGGAAGCGATTATCAAATGAAAAGCTTTAAAATTAAGTAAATTCCATTTATGGTGACAATTGTAATTAGACAGATTTAATGCATTCCAATAATTGATAATAATGATAGTGGTTATGGATTAAAAGTTGGCAATTAAAAACTAAAACACTGCAATATACAAAAAAAATTAATATTAAAATTATTAATTAGCCACAATTCTTATTCCAATTTCATGATCATTAAAAAACTAATATTAAAACCAAAAATATTGTTCTCATATGAAAAAAGTAGACTTGTTGCTCTTGTTTCGCATTGGATTGTGCTAAAAACATGAATAAAAGAAAAGGAAAATAGAAAAACTCCAACTATCTCTATCTATAAAATTGCAATTGTTAGAATGTATAAGCCAGAAAAACTTTACGTGGTAGATCATTTATACTCCATTATTGACAATAATAGAATTAACATAATACAAAGAATTCAAATTACACGTATGTTTATTTTTCTATCTTAATTATATTCTTCGTTTATAAAAAATTGTGATGATTGTGGTTTATATACAATAATTTTGGTAACACATGATATTATCAATATTTGATATATTAGAGTTCAAGCTATAAATCAAAAAGTGTTTCATTCATGATTTCAAATTCAATCCTAAGGGATATGTCAACTACATTAAAATGTTTTGTGTCTCTTTTCATTTAATAAAATTTTTAAAAGTAACTAGCTTAAAAAAATAAATAACATAAAAATACTATATTATGATGTTGACAATCAAAATTTCATAAAAAATTTTTAGCATCTGAAAAATAATATATTTTAAGATATTACAATCACATGCAAAGCACATGATCTATTACTAGTATGTGTAAATATACATACGTACGTATGTATTTATGTATGTATGTATGTATGTATGTATGTATATAGAATAGATTTATATAAATTCTGAATCTGGTACACTTTCTGCATACCAATCTATATATATATTTTTTTGTTTTGAAAGATGCATACCAATCTATTTAAACATTTAGTTTCTAAGACTTCTAGTCACCACTCAAATCATGATTATTTTACTACCGAGCCATAACTTCATCAGTTCAAGTCTTGCATCATTTCCAGTTTGCTTCTGCTTTTGTGAAAGTTCACAAACTATTTTTTGTCGGCATCTTCCTCTTTTCTTCAGGACTAGGAGGTATAAACCGCGCTCTGCGCGGTAGAGATAAAACTTATATGCCCAGTTTATGATTAATAGCTGGGAATACTAAATGAGAAAAATGCTTATTCATTTAAAGCTCAAGATTAATAGCTGCAAATAATATATGAACAAAATGCCTATATATTTAGTACCATATTTATTTTGCATGTATTTGACAGCCAGCCTTCTGCGCATTTTTTTTTATTTCCTTCTATTTCGGTCTTATAATGAAGGTTTTGGAGTCATACAAAATTGAGCATGACTGTGAAGCAGCTAGAAGTTGGAGAATATCAAATTTTTGGAGTGATCGGATGAATGATTACTTTATGCTTTTGGATAATAACTTTTACCGGATTTTTTTTGGAAGGCCTTTAACATGCAGCCTTTGCTGCTTTGCTAATTTTAAGGTCACTTCTATTTTTTCCTAGAGAAAATAATTCTTTTGATTGCTAGGGTGGCTAATTGAACCTTTCTTAAATTGTTTAATTGATGAAATTGGCATTATTAGATTGATTAGCAAATAAAGAAAGAAAACAAAAACATAGTGGGGAATCTCACGGGTCTCAAAGCAACCCCAGGCAATGTCTATATTTTTAGACTGCGCACTCTTAAGCATTGTGTGAATAAGGGTTTCAAATTCTGTCCATATCCTTGATGTTTTTTCATTGGAGAACAATGAATTAATGCTTATCAACCAACCATTGAATTCACAATTTGGTAGATGCAAATTCAAGCCTGGATCGAACTATTTAATACAATATTAAGCAAGGAAATGTTAGCACCTTCTTCTAAAAAAAAAAATTTCTCAGGACGAGGAAAAAAAATTCAAGGATATCAGTTGAAGAAAGGAAGGAGGTTATCCTTCCATCAAAAATGCTTAATAAAAATGTCACCTTTCAAAAAATCAATATAACATTCTAGCTTGCTGTGACATAGCAAACAATCCGTGATTTAAAATCCAGAAGGGAAAAGTACCAAGGAAAAATGATAGTACAGTGACCAGTAACACAACAGCCTAACACAAATTAACTAAGGAACCATGAATATACATAGAAACAGATCTCACAATTATCAGGGCTCCACTCTGAGTCTAATACCAATAATAATTGGATTGGACTCAACAGATCCCATAGCATCTACTTTGGTCCATCCCACTTCAATCTCAAAAATCACGGAACAATGTCAGCAGAACAGGCTTCTTACTATAGCAACAAACATAAACAACAAGGTGTCAGCAATACAAAAAATACAGGAGCCAACAAAAGCAACACGGGGGGAATCGCCTTTGATCAATAACATAATCTCCACCAATGACAGAAAAACCATCTAAAAGCGCCTTTCTCACTGGTAAGCAATAAAAATAAACTTATGTACAAGATTAAGGTACTCAGAACCAGTACTGTGATTGAACTAAAATGTGGCACGACAGATTATAAAACTTAAAAACTTTGGACTATAATTTTCTTCTTGTTTAAGGTTGTTATAATTAAAAGGTTCAATCGGTAGCCCAGGCCATCTAAAAAATGTGGTTCACTCATGCTGCATGTGCCAAGCAAAACTCGCACCTTCAGAGAAGAATTCATAAAAAAATTTCAGTCCAAAAATTAAACATTCTATTGGTAACCCTTTCCATCTACAGAATGTCGTTCAATCATACATAAGAAACATGCAAGCAAAACTCAAACCTTCAGAGAAGAGCATATGAAAAAATTCATAATCCAAAAAAGTAAACAATAATACCTTCATGTATTCTGTATTGCCGGTTGCTACCTCTAGTTTTATTTTCATTGTCCTAGTTGCGAAAGTTTAGAATCAAGTAGCTATGAGCCGGCCATTTAAAAGTATCTGCCAAAGGCATGCATAAAGTCATTTCACTATAATAATACACCAGGAAAGAAAGAAGTTCAGCATTTAACAACAGTTATAAAATGAATTCATGATCACAAAAGACTTACTAGTTTCACTTCCCCATTCTAAGCGACGTGCACAGCCAAAAATCCCTGAGATATATAAATTACAGATGCAGATTTTACTTAGCACGCTTTCAACTATGTCTTCATACAATTTAGAATCATGCACACATCACAAGGGATCACCAACAAACCAAATAAGAAGCTTAGAGATGAAAACGAAAAGCTGCACAATTATTTCAGATTGTAAAAAATGCAATGCTGTAGAGATACTCAGAATTAAAAATGACGAATCTCATCACCGGATACATGTGTTCCCTTATAAGCAGTCGAGGACGAAAAACAGTTGAACATCAAATTCAAAAACTCAGCCATGGACTCCCAACACAGAGCCAAAATGAGGATGGCAAACTGACAACAACTATTACAACAATTAGAATATAAGTTATACCAGGAATTACTGTAGAGTCAGCCGTTGGGGACAAAAGCCGTAGAAAGTATATATTGTTACATTTGGTTGCAAACTATGATAGATAGAATCCAAGAACAAGAATTTTTAAAAGATATACAGAACACAATTAGATGACACACTTATCTTGATAGGAGCAATACTAACCATTTATGGGGTAAAAAAGACCCAGAAAATGTCATATACAAAAGGTTCAGCCTACAAATTTAAAACAAGTAAATTGCATCATAGTAAACAAATGGTAGGATAGTGCAATCTAGAAGATGCATCAACTAGAGAAGGAAAATACTGATAAAAAAATGAATAAATATGTCCATTTGTATCTATCAACAAAGCATTGATACACAATAATAAATATTTTTTGATATACACAGCCTTGCTCGTCACCTTTCAATTTATCTTATTGCATTATCTTAAACCCTTTCTTTTACATTTTTGTTTCTAAAATGGGTTAGAATATTCATTAAAATAGGAAAATAAATTATAGGAGGCACGATAAACCAGCTAATAGGTCCTAAGTGAAAGATGGTAGGCTTGATCGACCCAGTAATTTGGTAAAGAATAGTCTATAGGATGAAAAACAAAGACAAAACGTGTTGAAAAATCATAAAAAGCTTCAGGCAGAAAACCTTAAGTCGGTTGAAAAGCCACCAAAATATTCGGTACAACATTTGGGTGGTTTAGCATTTTATCTACTTATGTTGATAAACGGCAACACAACAACTCCAGCCCAAAAAACACAGAGAAGAATAGGAACAAAGTACAACAGAGTTTTTTTTTTTGACGCAAAAACGACAGTTTTTTGGAGGACACAAGGCAAATATCAAAGGGCGGGGACCCAAAAAACACGCAACACTCCAGAGACCAAAATGGCACATGACAAAACGCACAACTACGCATGGTTCCAGACAGCATAGAAAGAGGGATACATTTTTCTTGTTTCTGAGGCAGATATCACAGAGGCCTTCAGGAACACAGGCCAATAGAAAACCCCTGTAGACCAAACACTAGAACCACCAAACCAAACACAGCGGAAGTAGAAGGGAAGAAATCCAAACACACAACTCAGCAAGAGCAAGAGCGTACCTCTCCCGAGAGCAAAACAGAAGGTCTTCGGAAGGGGAGGAAAAGAGGTCCTAGGGAAGCATCAAAGAACGAAAATATCAATTCTAGGCTAAAACTTACAGAGAAAACTCATAGCGAACACTGCACCTCACCGGAAAGGAAGAAGAAGAAAACTTACAATGGAGGAGGAGGAGGAGAACCAAACGGATGGAAGATGATTTGGACCACTGCAACCCATAGAACGCGAGAGACAGAGGCTCGATGCTCCTTGCGTGGTTCGAAAAAGGAAACAAATAACAGAGAACAAAAATATCAGCTCAGGCTAAAACTTACAGAGAAAACTCACAGCGAAGACTGCACCTCACCGGAAAGGAAGAAGAAGAAAACTTACAACGGAGGAGGAGGAGGAGAACCAAACGGATGGCAGATGATTTGGACCACTGCAACCCAGAGAACGCGAGAGGCAGAGGCTCGATGTTCCTTGCGTGGTAAGAAGAGCACCAGATATCTCAACAGGCTCTTGTACCAAGGCTCAGAACAGCCGGATAAGCAACAGAGCAACAGTGTCCAAAAGAAGGAGAGAGAGAAGGTAGTGGGAAGAAGAGGCATGGGAGAGGCATGGGATACTGCCAGACACAGAAACAAGTCTCGCAATACGGCAGACAACGCAGCAGAAGGCACATGGGATACTGCCAGAGGAGAAGATGAGAATAGAGCGAAAGCCGTCGCGCGATGCGTGAACAACATAATGCTTCCAACCCACATGCACGGCACGTGAGAGGACGACGAAACTTTTGGCTGAATGGTGTTGGCACGTTATCTACTTATGTTGAAAATGCTCTCTTTTGTCCACTCATGACTGGTGAATGAAAAACTGTTGAAAATGCAATAAAGGCATATCAAGACGCAAAAATTTGTCCTACAAACACCACCCCCCTCCCCACCCCCAAAAAAAATGTAAAACAGTATACCGCTGAAAGCAAGGGCATGGGAATTTAGTCAGCAGTAATGGCTCCGAAATTTGGAAATTGACGGGTGATCAACATACCTATTGCTTCTTTAATCTCTTTAGACAGCCTATACTATTGAGATACTTATCCCAATTGTAGCACATTCTTTCAAAAGCTAGTGAATAGAAGCTAGAAATAGGAAAATTGAACTTTCTAGTGTATTTGTTAAGTCTGGGGGAAGGTTGTAACCTAGAGATCCATTTACTTAGAGGCTTCCCATTTTTGTTGCTAAATTGCAGCCTTTTAAGAACCCAAGCAGTTCACAACAGCAACAGCAACAGCAACAGCAGCAGCAGCACTAGCTAAAACAACAATATTTCTAGTACATGCTAATTATCATCATTAATTTGCTATTACTACTTAACGTGTGACAGAACATTGATGTTGTTGTCTAGTTCTGGTTGCAAAGGCACCCGCATTCCCGATTGAGATTAAAATTCTGCTTGAAGGATCTGATGTTTTTAATGTAGATGGTTAAGCTTGAGGTAGTGAACATTAGTTGTTTCTAGTTTCGGTTGCGAAGGCACCAATAATCCTTTTTCCTTTTCTTTTTCTCTCCTTCACGGTTAAGTATGTTTAACTGGACTACTACATGGTACTCATAATCATGAAACTACTTGATTCCTGATTAATTTAACAGCTATTTTAGGATTTTTTGTTTATCAGATGAATTGATTTCTTTGCTTCTCTGTCCCATCGTCATTATTGGATGCATAACTTGAATCTAGAGAAGCTGATGGGGAGATGTCTTTTCTTCCCTCAACTATTTGCCTATATTTATCAGCTTCAGAAGTTTTACCTCTTTAAGGTTCTTAAGAGATGATTTTATAATTCACTTTGAGATGACAGAGAAAATTTTAGTACAAATATCTGTGGAAAAAGTAAGCTCTCAAAATTTGTAGCTCGCAAAAGGATTCATATCATTCTAACCTTGCTTTGCTTCATACACCCTACGTTCACTATTTCATGACAAATCTTTTGTTAAATTTGTTCGCATTATAGAAAAAGGAAGAGAACTTCAAGTACCTCGTAGGACCAAGACGAAGACTTGTTATAATGTAAGGTAAGGGCAAACTTTCACTTGGGTACAATCTAAAAGGATTCCACATTCAAGAAAGAACCAGAACAGACCAACCAAGAGATCGGATAAGATGAAGATGATCAATTACTTCGATGGGAAAAGCCAAACATCTTGAAGCTATTTCATCTGGTTTTGGGAGGGAATTTTGCTAGTGGGTTTGACTCTTGATTCACTGTGGTATAGGCATGAACCTTTAGGCATTCCATGGAAGAAGCTGGGAAGAAAAACAGGGAAATAGAACCAGCCACGGAAAATATGACTATGCATATGAAGCTTACAAGAGTTCAAAACACAGGAAACGTGAATTACACTTCCCAGGCCCCCCCTCCTGCTGCCTTTCCTTTTGTTCCCTTGTCCTTCAAACGTGAATTAATAACTGATTTATAAATTTGCCTTGGATTAAGGGATTTTAGAATCCAAAGGAATTTCAGATTTTTCAGACTAAATACCGATAGCATCCTAGTCTATGCTATCATGATCACAAGTCATTTTGTAGAATCACATCCTGTGTTTAATATTTTAGGGACAAAAAGATTCTCCCTATAACTCATAATAAACAGAAATTTGGAAATCCAAGTCAATAAAATCACATATACAAAATAAATAAAGAACAGGTCTCAATTTCCACAAAGGCATTGTAATCTAACCTTTGGCTAACATTTTGCTTCATGCTGCTTGTTGCCTGGTATAGCAAGGGAAAAAAAGAAAAATACAGAGGGATAAGGTTGCCATACAGCTTTGGAATTTTTTTAAATAATTTTTAATTTGTTCACCCGCCAAATGGATTCTAAATTTCATTAGGCAAAGGGTTAAGGAAAAGATAGTTTGAAGAGAGCAATTTCCGATCACACCTTTTATCCAAAAAGAATGTCAAATCTGATATGATGACCTTAGCATCAGCTGAACAATTAGAAGCCTGAAGAAAAATGATGTCTAAATCAGAACAACATTTCTTTCATCAAAACCAAAGAAAGAAGTTGGTGAAAGAGTATTGTTTGGAATATACTATTGGTTCTGTTTTTAATTTTCAAATTTGAAATATGAGACTAAAACACAGTATTACAATGAACAACCAGATTACCATGGAAGGACAACTTTCAATCTCCAACAGAGTCCCATTGACCTTGAAAAATTTCCATATGACTTACAACTTTAAGATCATGGAATGAACAAAATACACTGAGCTTTGTCTTCGGGATAACTTTTGGTTGAACTCAACTAGCTTACAAGTAAATAAGAGTTTTTTTGGGTTGAACCAAGTTAGTCCGATTTTGTGACTTCTCAATCTCTTAGAGAAACAAAACATGATTCGATTCTCAGGTAGTTCTTAATGTTTTAACTCAACTAGTTTACAAATAAAAAGAGAGTTTTTGTGTTGAATCAAGATAGTTATGTGACTTTTTGATCTCTTAGAGATATAAAAACATCTTATGATTCCTAAGTAGTTCTTCATTGATTCCACAGGTGTACAATGAAATACAGTGACAACCCTCTTGTAGCACATTAGAACGGCTTGATAAAGATACAGGTTGCATAACGGGAATTGCTAACATTAGAACTGCAATGCAATATCAGAAGAAAAGCTAATTATGCCACTGTATTTCAGAAATGCTAGATTTTTTTTCTCAAGTCACTCGACCTCTTTAATTCATCAATGAAATTGCCTCAAAATGTGAAATAAAAATGATTCTTCAGAACAATTTCAGAATTATCACACGGATCACGTCACCAACCAAGTTTTTTAAGGTATTTCAGTACTAGCTTTCGGTTTACAGTATATTCCACTTCCTACAACATCAAAATAATGACTATGGTTGGTGTAGATTAAATAATGCCGATGTTAATTGACACTGGATAACAAAGTCTTAACAAACACTAAGCTTGTTAAGTTGTCCCTAAGCCAGCACTCCCAACTGAACGGGCAAAAATTTGTAATCTGCAACAGAGCAAGCAATGCCCCAAATATACAATTTTGGACATCATTTTATGACATCTGCTATTGTCTCCAGGATGTCGACCACAATTTTAAATAGTACAAGAACAATTTTAGAAATTTCATCTGCACCCACCTGGAATCCTGGCTCCAATTTTCCAAAGGTCATAGGAGGAAACAGAATTGCTCCATCAAGAGCTGAATTGATTACTTTCCCCTTGCCAAGTTTAGAATAAACGGAACTCATCTTCTTGTTCAGCATCCTCACCTTCATCATTGTTAAATACTGCATATAGAATACATATGGGTTGTTAATCATTTCAATGAATGTCAGGCATCGTTATGTGAATCATCCTGCATAGAAGCTGTGGAAACATCTTGTAACACGTTAATTATCAGAAGAGCAGAGAATCAGCCGGAAACAAAATTAATGCGTCCAGGTGTTTCTTTTCTTTCCAATTATAGTTAGGACCAATTATTATTTACATCAAGTCATCAGGTTTAAATGGATTCCAGTCCAGAGCGGTCCAGAGCCAAAAATCTACAGTTAACAATAGGATCACGTATCCAAAACCGTATCCTAACCATCTTTGGGATCATTACTAAGTTACTATAATCAAATAAGCTTAGTAAAACATATGACTAGACAAAGACTTATGACTGCTGAATTGCAGATGTCTGCAATGCAAATAATTTGAAATTCTTAAAGCAATAAGAAGCATCCCATTTTCATTGAGACCCAAAATTCAGGTGAATCAATCGAGCTTAAATTCACACTACCCCTCTGCCCAAAGAATCAGTCAGTTCTTACGTTACAGCATTATTTCCTCAAAGATTTCACAATAAGCTGTGCACTGGGTGACAAGTACCAACTTTAGATGCACACGCAATTAAAACAGAACTAATCCCAACTTCACTTATGATGCAAAAGGAAATAGATATGTTGTTGTCCCACATTAACACAAAAGTAAGTCTAATTACATGCTTGAATTACCCATTATATTCCCGCTAAATAAAATAGACACCAATGAACAATCAGGCTCGGATGTTTATCCAAAATCATAAGCCATAGCTATACAATTAGCAAAAGGATGAGCAGTTTAGGTCCTTTTACTTTCAATCATCTATTACTAAATCTTGATACTTCATACGGCAAATATTTGTACGATGAAGAAGATATTACCAACAATAATGCATCAACAGGTATTGGGCCGCAAGAAAGGATAAAATTTGATCATCCAATCTCACCATCTCTCTGTTCCTCCCACATATAGCATATAGGATAAAAAATGCTTCTCAATCTCCTCTCTTAGCTAAAAATTTACAATCATTACAGCGACTGCTAAAATTTTATCACTGATCATCAAAGACAAAAGCATCAAATTGGGAGACGAGCATCATCTGCATTAGCCCAAAGAATAACACAAGAAAAAATGAATGCATAAACAAGAAATTACTTCTCGGTTATGGAAGCAAAATCCAATCCAAATTGTTTTTACCTGATTTCCTGTATCAGCTAGTTGCATAACCAATTAAGCAGTCTGGGATTTTTCAGTATCTACAAATTTACAAGAACAATACCAGCTTAGTTGATGAATAGAACCAGAGGTCTAGGGCAGAAGCAGAAAGTACACCATAATGTACTAAGACAGCGGGTATACAGATTTGATTAGATTAAAGTGATATTTTGACACCTCTTTTAAAATATTTTTATAAAAGATGGAGTTTAAACCTCTAACATACCACTCAAATAGGGATTTAGTTCCTTTTTTATGGCTAGTGAACCAAAACTTGATAGTTCCTCTCTAAAATTACTTGAAATACAATTTTCAAGCAAAACAAAAACACACCATTAAGGAGTCCGTAATATATAGGGATAATTTTGCAAACCTCCTTTAAGATTTTTAATAATTGCAGAGAGCTCCTTTCAAGTTTTAAAAGTTACATATACCTTCTCTATTTTACTATTTAAATAACAATATTGGTCCAACAAACTAGGTTTTCTTTCAAAAATCCTAAATTGCCCTTTTCTACAAAAGTAAAAAAGAAAATATAGTATATTCAATTATTTTTTCCACTCTTTGTACAAATCGACAATCCTAATCTCTAACAACTATCCAACCATAAGCTCCAAATTAAGTAGCTGTCCAAAAGATCTCAAATTACATATACAACATCGATGCTTGTCATGCAAAAAAATAAAAATACAAAAAATACACACACATACCATTGACAACCAATTTTATGCCTCAAAATTAAATTTCAATACCCAAATATCTTTTCAATACAAGCTCATCTAGTCTAAAACCACCATTAGAACTCTCTTATGACCTTAAAAATATTAATACCTCAAAAGTAGAGAATAAATTTTACTTCCACAATAAAATCGTAACAAAAAATTTCTCATCCAATGAAAGAAATCCTCGTGCAATTATTGGCATTTTACAAAAAATTTTCTTGACAACAAGCAAACTATGACTAATTGCACATCTTTGGTTATTTTTCCTATTTCAATAATCAATTTCATTATTTATTTCTCTATTAATGCGAGCCTCTTCATTTCCTTCTAGTTTAGTACATAATTTGCTCCCTCTGTCAATTTTGGAATTTTAATTTGCTAATATCCATAAAATAGAAGATAATAAAAAGGGGTATAGTATATTAACTACAAAAGAAAGGAGCAAGAATAGACAAGAGATAGAAAAATAGAATTTTTTTTTGGGTTTTGTAAATCTATTACTTTAAATTGAGAATTGTCTACCAAGTGAAGGGAATTTTAGGTACTTTACTATGCCAGGGGAAGTAAGTATAATTTTTTAAACCTAAGGAGAGTCAAGTGAAATTGTTTGAAACCTCAAGGGAGGTTTTTGAAATTATCCCTAATACATAAGCACTTAGCATTAACTGTCAATTTGTCATTGCTGTAAAACAAAATGTAATTTTTCAAGTGTGAGGAGTAATCTGAGGTCACTTCCATAAAAGCAAGGAAAACACATGAAAGAAGATTTATTTTGTTTTCTACGAAGAAAGATAAGAAGGAAACTTTTTGGGATATTTGGATTATAGTGACAGGAAAATTTTGTAATTACAAAGAGGGCTAAGCTTTGACAAAATTATGGATGGGGTACTAGCTAGTGTTTAAAAATTATAAATAGGGTTAATTTCACTTTCCACCCTTTTGCTATGCTTAGATTGCAGTTTGCATCCTAAACTATTAATTTTAGCACTTAACTACCTTTGACTTACTAATTTTTGCAATTCCCTACGATTGACTTAAGTCCAGCAAGTTAAAAGCAGATTAAGCTGGCCATTGATTGATAGAATTTTCCTTTCATTCCTTGCAATACTCTTCTCCTTCCACCCAAAATTCATCAACCTTTTCTCCTTTTAAACTTTCTCAAACCAACAAGATGTACCAAATCAAGTAATCTTGTGAGACCCCGAAAATTTTCTTATTTTTCGGGTATTTATTTTGGGACTTTTAAGTCTATTTCTGGGGTTTTATTTTGTATGTAGGTTTTCTGGGGAATTTTATGAGAAAATATGAATTTTGCATCCTTTTCTGGGTTTAGGTCAATTTCTGTGCTATTAGAGGTGTACAGTGCATGTGGGACCCGCTAAAACGATCGGTACCGGTAAATGTGACTTTGGGAAATTTTCTATACGGAAGCTTTAGTACCTAGTGTTATGAGCTAATTAGTGGTTAGCTAGTATAATTAAGGTTTACAAGACAAAGATGTTGGATAAGCTTGGAAAACACATGTTGAGATCTTATTGGAAGTTGGACTTTTGACTTTCACTTTACCTTTCTTATTAAGAGAAAAATTGATCCAAAATTACTCATTTTTCTCTTGCTCATTGCCGACCAACAAGGAAGAAAGAAAGAAAGAAACCTCTTCAACTTTTGCTTCATCTCTTGGCCAAATCTTGCAAACCAACCATTAATCTTTCAAATTCCTCCACAAAACTTGCTTGCTAGGAAGGATTGAACTACTTGGTGGGTTTTGTTTGAAGAGAAAAGCTATCCTCTACCTTGTATCCCACATTTGTAAGGTAAGCAAGTTAGGAAATGTTTATTTGTTGGATGTGAGATGAAATTAGTACATGTTAGTGGTTATAGATGCCATTTTGTGGGTTATTTCAAGATTTATGGTTGAGTTATGGAAATTTTCTATTTATTGAGGAATTTTCTGTTTTATATGATAACTTATGGTTGAGTTGGGTGTGGTGGATTTATATGGCTTGATTTAGAGCCTTGGTGTGTTAATGGTGGTTAATGGTAGAAAATTTCAGCATTTGTAGGATTTTCTGTTTTTAGGTTTTGGTATAAATTGGGGTTTTCTATGTATGGGATATATGCTAGTAGTTGATGTGTATTTGATTGTATTGTGGCTTAAATGGGATGAATGGACTGAATTGTGGTATATAAGTGTCTTGGTATAAGTTGAATGTTTGTGGTTAGGTTGGAAATGTGAAGAAACTAAGGGGTTATGCTGTCCAAATGGTTAGAAATATAGATGGTTTTGTAATAAGAAGGATTTGAGTAGAAATGAATGAGTTTTGGGCTTTTACTCACATTCCACACCTTGATGTTTCATTGTATTGTCTTTTGAGCAACCTGCATTAGTAAGTTAAACTTGTACGTTGAATTGTGTTTGAGTTTTCAATATGGTTATTTGCTTGTTTTAGGTCGTACCGGTGGACCGGGACCAACTTCGGAACCAAACGTGTGATTTGCTTGCAAATTTGGTGAGTGTACCAGTATATGATGAACATACTTGTTATGTGGTTTCTAAATGTCTTGATTTGGGTCGAGAGTGTACTTGATCGCTCTTGACCACTTACTTGCATTTACCGTTATTGTTTGGATGTGAAATGGTATATATACATGCTTGACATTTGATGGGGCAATGCCTTAATATTAATGTGAAATTGAGCTCATGCCCTTAGACCGTTATTCGAGTCGAGCCGGCAAGGGCTTGGGCGATTCGGTAATGAGCCTTTGGGTTCTTGATAGGCGAGTGGAGTGTTAACTCCTCGACCTTGTGGTATACTCGAGTATTACCCTTTTGGAACTATGAGGCGGCGGGCCCGAATAGGGGGTGAATGGTGGAAGGAAATGGTGCGAAGTGGTGTCTACGGATCTTGGTTTGTTTAAAGGGTTGACGGAGTGTCAACGTGTGAGATCAAGTATGGCAATCGGAAATCGGCCCTTGAGGGTCGCATGTATCCTTTTATATGTGTATGTTGTATGAAAGTGTTTATGTATATGTGTTAATAGTTGTAGCATGAAATTGTGCATTTGGTACCTCACGAGCGTAAGCTCACCCCCGTTGTTTTGTTTTCCTTACAGGAGCAATGTTGAACCACATTTTGAGATGAGTTGAGCTAGTGACATAGTTAGTTTTGAAAGCTCCTCGAACATTTGAAACTTCGATGTATTTGAACTCAAGTGTTTGTGTTTGAATGGTATAAGGACACTTTCTTATGTATAGATGACATGTATATATGGTTTACCAAGTCTTGGATTCGTTATATAGTGTATTTGTACAATCGCGGGTTTTAAAAATGAAAGCAGGAAATTTTGGAAAAATTACTGCCTGGAATCCGGCCTAGAATCCGGCCAGTTTCTGGCCGGATATAAGGCCGGATAGGCAGGGGAAAAGGAAAAAAAAAAGAAAAATTGGACTCTGGCTACTGCCTAGAATCCGGCCAGAGCAATCCGGCCAACTTCCGGCCGGATTGTTGGCCGGATTGGCAGGGGATTTTGAAAAAATTTGGTTTAGCCTCGGCCTCCTATCCGGCCGAGAATCCGGCCGGATATCCGGCCAGATTCTGGCCGGATAGTGACGTGGCCGGTCACTGTTCATCCGCGGCAAATTTTTCGTTCTTCGTTTCCTGGTCCGATTGAAGTGCTCGAGCGCTATACTTTCTTGCGTAATGATATCATTGTTATAAGAACAACCTAATGAGGTAAATCGCTCATTTTGTCGAGTTTTCTTTTATGAATTAAATCCGACATGTTTGTTTTGCGACCCGTAGTCCCGGCGAGAGTTGGGCAGGCGGTCCGTCAACCCCTCCGGTTCGCCCTAGGGGAAGATGGGGTCGTCACAAGTGGTATCAGAGCCTAGGTTTGGCTTAACCTGGGCATGTTTGAAATGTCTTGCTCTTGGAGTTGTATTTGCTTGTTTTTTTTTAGGTATTGGAGATTAATGATACTTTTGTGTAGGATGGACGTGCCTAGTGGCTCTCGTGTGCGATCGATCGCGAAGCAAGGCCGTGGAGTACTTCCTATGATCAAGTACCAAATCCGGCCGAGAGGGGCGACTCTACGTTGGAGTCCGGCGATTCGATTTCGACGTTGTGAGTGCCGTCACAAGTTTGCCTACCCCAATACTCTTGTATTTGCGGTGGACAAAGAACGAAAAGAGTTGGCCAAGGATTATGCTAAGATTGAATCCGAAGTAAAACAATTAAGAGAGGCCAACAAGAGGCAAGCGGAGCGTGTAAAGGAGTTGGAGTATGACCTGAGCGAAGGTCAAGATAGGGTGGATGATTTGTGTACGCAACTTGGGGAGATGCGCAAACGTATGACCAAGAGGGCGAGACAACTGAGGGAGAACGCCGGAACAATGTTAAATTTGTGTGAAGACCTACTAGGGGACGAGAGTGTCGAGAGTTCTAGT